CACCGGTCTTGAACAGAACCTTCCAGATTTCTTTGTGCGTTGTGTCGAAGAGCTCTAGCAGCATCTAGTGTTCGGCCGGGTCGAAGTCCCACATATCAAACACCCATCTTTGACACGGGAGAATCCGGTGAATGAGCATAACCTGGACCACATTGACAAGCTTGATCTTCTTTTCCCTCATACTTCTGAGGCAGGCCTTGAGTCCGGCTAGCTCCGTGGGTTCGCCCCAGGCCAGGCCCTTCTTCTCCCAGGAGGTGAGCCGCGTGGGGATTCCGGATCTGAATTTGGGGGCCGCCACCCAGTTGGCGTCGCGTGGCTCGGTGATGTAGAACCACCCTGATTGCCACCCCTTTATGGACTCCACGAAGGAGCCATCGAGCCATATAACATTGGGCATTTTGCCCACCATGGCGCCTCCGCACTCCGCCTGTTGGCCGCTCATGATCTTCGGCTTCACATAGAAGATTTTCAACCACAGGCTGAAGTGATACTTGATGCGGAGGAAGGCCTCGCACACGACGTTGAACGCCGAGATGTTAAGGACGAAATTCGGGGCCAGATCGTGCAAATCTAGCCCGTAGTAGTACATGAGACCGCCGACGAAAGGGTGGAGTGGAAACCCTAGTCCATGGACGAAATGAGGGAGAAATACCACTCTCTCCCGAGACTTTGGTGTAGGGGTGATCTGTCCCTCTGTTGGAAGCCTGTGTGCGATATTTGCGGCCAGGTATCCGGCTTCCCGAAGCTTGGTAATGTTCTCCTCTGTGACAGAGGAGGCCATCCACTTGCCTCCCGCTCCAGACATGCTGCGGTCTTATGGAGAAGGTGAGAACTTGGGCGCTGGAGCTCGAGGGTGCGAGAATGGATGATCGAAGGAAGAAGAAGGCGTGGGTGAAAATGGGAGGTTTCTGCCCCTTTATAAAGGCGATGTGAATGTGCGCCTCCCCACTTGCCTCTCGAAATCTCTTATTTTTCCAGGCGCCTCGATTACTGGCGCTGGTTGGGTTACCCATACCCGCATTGATGTAGATCCCGTGATAAGGGGACACGATCTCTGCTTTGACAAGACGTGCCAAAGAAACCGCCTCGCGATGTGTGCGAAAGCAGGTTGTAGAAAATGGTTCGAATAAAAATCGGACCATGGCGTGATGTCGCTTTTCGAAGAATTGTCAGCGGATTAGATTCGTGGATTATTATTATCCTCTCTACGGTGGTATACGGAATGTTATCTTGCAAAGCCGGACACGGTCCTTGTGTTCGGAATTTATCTTGGAGTATTTGGAGATGGAACCCGCCTCGCAATGCCGAAGACAATCTACGCGCTGGACTCATCGTCATTGAAGCATGGTTCAGGGGCTACTGAGGGAGTCCTGGATAAGGGGGTATCCGGACTGCCGGACTATATACTTTGGCCGAACTATTGGACTATGAAGATACAAGATAGAAGACTTTGTCCCGTGTCCGGATGGGACTCTCCTTGGCGTGGAAGGCAAGCTTGGCGATTCAGATGTAGATCTCCTTCTTTGTAAACCGACTCTGTGTAACCCTAGCCCCCTCCGGTGTCTATATAAACTGGAGGGTTTAGTCCGTAGGACAATGATCATCAACAACTATCATACCATAGGCTAGCTTCTAGGGTTTAGCCTCTCTGATCTCGTGGTAGATCAACTCTTGTAATACTCATATCATCAAGATCAATCAAGCAGGAAGTAGGGTATTACCTCCATCGAGAGGGCCCGAACCTGGGTAAACATCGTGTCCCCATTCTCCTGTTACCATTAGCCTTAGACGCACAGTTCAGGACCCCCTACCCGAGATCCGCCGGTTTTGACACCGACAAAGGGGGTCGACCCCTTCCTTCCTTCTCCTTCTCCCTTCCCCTTTTCCTGTTCCATGTGGGATGTGGAATCCTACTAGGACTCCCTAGTCCTAGTAGGACTCCACACTTTGGGCGCGCCCTATGAGGGGCGGCCTCCTCCTCCCTCCATCCTTTATATACGTGGTCAGGGGACACCCCATAGACACACAAGTTGATCTTTTAGCCGTGTGTGGTTCCCCCCTCCACAGTTACACACCTCGATCATACCGTTGCGGAGCTTAGGCGAGGCCCTGCGCCGGTAGCATCATCATCACCGTCATCACGCCGCCGTGCTGATGAAACTCTCCCTCGACACTCTGCTAGATCGTGAGTTCGTGGGACGTCACCGAGCCGAACGTGTGCAGATCACGGAGGTGTCGTACTTTCGGTACTAGGATTGGTCGGATCGTGAAGACGTACGACTACATCAACCACGTTGTCATAACGCTTCCACTTACGGTCTACAAGGATACATGGACAACAGTCTCCCGCTCGTTGCTATGCATCACCGTGATCTTGCGTGTGCGTAGGAAAATTTTGAAATTACTGCATTCCCCAATAGTTATGTTATTCAAATTTATATTGTGATTCATACGATAGGATTGTGATTCTAAACATAACTAACTTCTTAATCAATGGATTCCATTTGGGCATTTGACATTCAAAACCCCAATCTGAGTAGAATTCAAAAACAAATCTAATAGGGACCCAATCTAAGGCAAGGAATCTGAGTAGCATTAAAAACCCCAATTTGTGAGGACTAAAAACAAATCTAATAAGCATGCATCTGTTCACAACATCTAGCATTTTTGCAACGAATTTATCCAAATCTAAAAACAAATCTAAAAACTCCAATCATTGCAGCACCTAAAATCATAGTTCACAACATCTAGCACTTTTGCAACAAATTTATCCAACAAACCCTAGTCCAAAAACCCTCATCCCCCCAACCTATACAAAAAACCCTGACCCATTCGTCAAACCAACTACTCTAACCATCTGAACTACCGTATGAATCACAATCTAACCAACTAGATCGAAATCGCGCCCTGGCGCGAGGGTACCGGTCCCAACATTTTGATAAGCACGTAATGATAAGTTAGTAGGAATCGACGTTTTCATGGCGCGGCTTGCCACGCGTCTAACAACAGACAACCAAATATGAATAATCATTTTTAAATATGAATAATCATTTTTAAATATAATTGAATGGAATAGTACGCACAATGATTTTAGCACACTCAAGTTGTCTAATTACAAAATGGTAAACCTATAGAAGCATCACATACATTACATTAATCATACAGAAGGCAACTTGCCACATAATCCCTCTATGCTTTGTATGGCTAAATGATATCATTCCAGTCAGCTTGATTAAAATGTTTCTTAAACGAACGATATGATGACATTGTACACACATATACTCCCTCTGTACCATAATAGTTGTCGCTGGAGTAGCTGAAGTTCAGCTACTCCAGCGACAACTATTACGGTACAGAGGGAGTATTACACAGGTCCAGGGGATGAAAAGGTATAAAGGCGACATGTAAAAGAAAATATATATGTCATTTTAGCAGGAAGTATATCCAGAATGTATGAGAACATGTGTTGAAAAGAATTGCTATCATAGCCTAACATTTTTTTAGTTGCACACATCACATGTCGATGTTACAAATAGATCAGGTGCCCACATGCCTTTGATTTTCCCCTAACAGACTGACTTAGAGCATGGAAATAATCTATTTATGATGATAGTTGGTGCGGGTCTGTATGTGGTTGCCAATGGAGTAACTTGCAATTCCACACCCAGTCTAACAAAATGATAATGTCCACCTCATGACTTCGGTTCCATGTCTCCACAAAGCTGGCAGAATTGAGAATCACAAATCATGAGAAAGGGAATACACGCAAGATGTCACGAACATAAATTGGTCAAAAGTCCAGGGATCAATGAACGGTACCTACAAACCCAAGCATGATAGACAGGAAGTACATCATGGCGCACGGTACCAAATAACCAGAAAGCAAAAACCAAATCAGAAAAATACAAACCTAGATTCCTAAATAAATAGAGGATGCAATTTCTTATAATTCTAAATTGTAGTATGGAGATCGCTGTATGGCCCATGCACCAAGGTTCTAAGAAAAGTTGGCATAACAATCAAGCATTGCAAATACTTGGTATTTTCTAACAGGAAAGGAGAGGGGTCTCTCACCTAGCAAAGCGATAGGGGGGGGAGGCAACAGGCAAGAACAACAACGATGAAAACTGGTGCAGGTGTCGTCATAAAGATACTTGTATATGTGCGCCTAATCATATCCTGCATCTGTTTAAATTGTCTGGGAAACGTATATTAGATGACATAAAAGTATATTGTGGGTAATTCAAGAAATCTATATATCCTAGAAAAATAAGTGATTTACAATTGATCAAAGGCATCCTCTTTATCATGTGGACACACAAGAAGAAAATTTCAGACCAAATGTGGCAGATCAGATTGTCTTTTCAGCTTGTGAAAAAGAGTCAGCTTTTTTTAGGGATAATAAGTCAAAAAGGTTATGTTGTGTTTGCAGGGAACATAACGTCCTAACGGTGGATACTCGAGTGGTATAAGCAGGTAGTATTTTTATCTCATTTAGTCGCATTAAAATGAACCTAGACTATATACTGCAGCTAATATATTTCATATTAGCATAAAGGGAGAAGCCCAGTGAAATCAGCTAAGAATTCATCTAGGAATGATCCGTTCTGTTATTTTCAAGGGCACATATCAAATGATCCCAAGTAAGAATTTCAAAGTTGTGGAATCTCAAAAGATCCATCTAGGAACGCAAGTACGGCAACTAAATAATGATTAAATTAATGTTTGAGCTTGGATAAGCTTACCTGGGTAGCCTCTTCTCCAAACGGTCCTCAACTTTGGGACATAGATGGCTTGCTTAATGAAATCCGGGCAGCATGAGCCTCTTCAAATGGAATGGTCCCTGTCATTGCCCTCAAAACATTAGACCATGCTTAGTTATAAATCACGTCACACATAGCTTAATTTTTTGGGTAGTTGTAAACATTGTACATCAAAAGTTAAATAAAAGCCCAAAAGAGAACTCCAATGACTACATTATAATGCATTGCCACTTACCCATGATCAACACAACAAGATCGAAGGACGTGTCGACGGGCGGCAAGAGGGGCCTGACAGGGAGGTCCGTGCAGGATCTGGAAGGAACACACACCAGTGATGCAAAGCTCAGAACCAACAGATTGAAAGAAAGCGGCTTAAATATTCATACACAGCAGGCTAATCGGGTTAATTTACCATACATACGAGCAACTACCACAGAATAGTTGGATCTACCCAAGCAGTTCTACATAAGCTTACAAGCTCGCAAAATGCCCACACATTATGGACCCCTACCTCAAACTGCAAATCCAGATCAGATCCACTAAGATGCAGCAGCAGAGGCTAACTTCCCAACAAATCATCAATCCCCGAACCCCTTTGCTTATCCCCAATCGAATGGATCATCAAGCAAACAGAGCGGGGGCGAACAGGATCAAATAGATGAAACGACCCAGCATCAGGTGCGGCTGATTCCGTCCCAGATCCGCCCGGATCGACGCGACAGGAAAAGAAATCAACGGAGAATCATCCTGCGGGGAGGCGGATCGAGTTCGTACCTGACGGAGAGAGGCGACTCGAATCACATGGAAGACGAGAAGGATCCGTGGGGAAAAGTTATCCTCTGCTGCTCCTCTCGTTGTCGTGGCCCCGACCAGACCGTGCCTGCGATGGTGAGGAGCAACCTCGACGGGGAGGGCAGAGGCTCAAACGATAAGCTCCATCTCCGGTCGACCGGCAAGGCAACCCCAACGGCACGGCACCGTCTGAACTGCAAATCAAGCAGAGAAACAAGAAAGAGAGTAAGAAACGAGCAGAGCACAAGAGATCCACGAGAGGTAGAGGAACCACCCAAATACTTGAACTTTCATAAAGTAATAAAAACAGAAGTTTCAGCGTATCAGCAACCCAAATACCCGAACCTTCATCCTTATTTAACCCTTCTTTTGTGCAGGTAATTTATTTTACACTCCAGTCGCAAGCTTATTCAAACTGCACCCGGCAAACTAATATATAAATGTAGACAACCATCAACAGGCCTTCTCCCATACCAAGTCCACACAATCAGTTCATAGCCTTTTTTAGAACACTTCATAGATATCTAATTGGAATTTTATTTGCCATTTATTTTTTGCAAGTAAAAAAACTGCTAGAAAATATAGAACAAATCCAGTGACTTAAATATACCCAATCGACTAACAAAGCATGCAACTTACCAATAATGAATCATTTAAGCAATAGTTTTAGTGGACCATCCACCTTGAATAATTAACATCTACCATTCCATATGATACGTTGAATCCTACCCCAAGTGTTGTAGCGTATTTCTAGTTTAATTCAGTTATAGTTCTCAACCAAAATTATCTCCATAATCCTCAATCCAAATACTTCAAAGCCGTCGACAACAGTTTATGACAACAGTTTAAATTTGAACAACACTGGCAGTAATGGGATGTGTACATATACATAGTCATGGGGATGTGTATTTTGTAGTCCGTACCTACAATTGGGCTGACTTCCATCAAGAGAATAACAGGCTCCAGCCGGGCAGATGGATCTCGTCAGCAACCCAGGCAACTAAATCCAAGGCAACAAAGTAAGATGCAGCAAGCAATGTGATTTGTAGCAGCCTGTGGCTAAATTAGATTAGCAAGTCAGTGGGAGGGAGAGGGGAAGTGTTACCTGCAAGGAAGGGATCCATTGCCGTCAGGAAGGAAGCAGGGACCTTGTGCGGTGCGTCGTGGTCGGAATCGAGCTCGGGTCCTCGTCCTCCTCCGCGTCGTGGTCATCCTCACTTGCTGTTTGGAATCAAACAAACAGAACATCGATCACACACAGACCGACAGGGAGAATGGAAGGATGAGCGGCGGATCGAACCCTTGGGAGTCTGACGCCGACAGCGAGCACCGCAACTGTTCGCGGAAGAAGGCGCCACTTATGATACGGTTCCTGAAATTTATGATACGATATAAAATCATTTTGAGTAGTACGCAACCAAACCATAACTGGGTCTAGCAGCAGCAGAAGTCACATTCCAATTTTGAAGTAAGCATGCAATTTTCAAGTTGAATGCAAACATACTGTATGAAGCAGAGAGAATGGATCTCAATGGATTAAATAAGCAATAGATACAAAATCTGTACTCTGAGGCTGAACTTATTTAGAAACTTAATAACTAAACTATATATGTGAGCTAGTAATCTCTCCCATATACTGAAAAGGAAAGACTGCTAGTAAAAAGAGCCAAAAGACAACCAATATGCCCAAGCTCCAGAGAAAGAAATAGCCCAAATACACTGCCAAAGCAAAGAAAAAATAATGACAGAAAAAAAGAATGATCGACCTGAACAGGTGGTGAGGCAGGAAGAGGAGTGCTTCCAGGGCAGCATAGCAGCTTGCAGGGTCTCCGCCAAGCATTATGACATGCCCACCAACCAGTCCATCTTCTTTGTAAATATTTGCAAATTCTGATGGAGACTTTTGTCACCCGTGTCGTGCCATCATTCGATGCATCCCGGAGAGTAGAGCCAACAATTTGCTTAACTTTGCCCTAGGAGTTTTCAAAAACAAACCTATCAGATAAACGATGGTGTTAATGCCAGATGCGCCTAAACTTGGTGATTGCAGGTGACAGCATACAGTACAGATAAATGTATCACTAAACGTGGTTTCCTTATTTTACAATAATAGTCAGTTTGCGAATGACACCGTAGTGAAACGATTAGCATCCACCAAGATAATGATTCAATAGAAAAATACCAGGTCATACATTAGAAGACCAGATATATACTACTTTAGTAATAAGGTAACCTATGCATCATACAAACACACCCTGTTGATACAGACTGCAAAAATGAGGGGGACCTTGTAGATTGATTTGCCTATGTTAAATTATCATTTATAGCCCTATGGGTTACTAAGAAAAATACAACCTATTGTTTATTTACATGTTTATTTGCATAGCCTAGAACAGTAGGTTAAAATACACTGCTATTTATATCCTATTTGAGTTAAAAATATCCTGCTAGTAAAAAGAGAACCTTGATCTAATTAAGTAACCTAGAACCGAAAGTTAAAATACCCTACAATTGTTGTGAAGAAAGAACTAAGATCTAATCAAATAATTTCTCCTTCCTATAGATAGGTATGGACCGTGGAGAACCTAGGCAACAATTAACTATCTGCATGTACACTGCAACCTAAAAACGGCATCCAGCAGGGCATTAGCCTAAAAAGTAACCAAGCTCATGATTTAGCACAAGGTGGTGCACCTCTATTAGTTGTTGACCTCGTCAACTAAGCCATGACCTCATCCAACTCCGCGACAGCGGCAACCTGCAAGCAAAGACGATGAGAGAGAGAGAGAGAGAGAGAGAGAGAGAGAGAGAGAGAGATTAACCTGGACATAGTGGAGATGGGCGCTCGAGCTGGAGGCAGCAGAGTTGTACACGGCTGTGTTGGCCATCAGATGCGTCGCACACGCAGGCTCGATGGGGAGCAGCGGCCCAAGCGCTTCTCAGGCCGATGGCGACGAACTGGATCTCGGCCGTCGCGGGACGGGGAGGGCGGGCGCCCACTCGGCGTCGCGCAGCACGGCGGCGTGGTCGGAGGAGAGGTGACCGTGGTGGGTGGGTGAGGAGCGGCTCGAGGGAGGGGCGGAGGAGGGAAGCGGCGTGTGAGAACCGGCGGCGAGCCGTGCTCCTCCTGCTGAGCAGCGAGAGGACGAGGAGGAGGGGAAGGCGCGACGGCGAGAGGGGGTGGGAGGACCTCGACGACGGTAGTGGCTCAGGTCAACGACGCCGCGTCGATCCCGCCGTGGATCTGGGCGCTGCATCGTGCGGCGGCGGCCGGCTGGGCGAGAAGACGACGGCGGCGGGGCTGGGAGGCGCGGGAGAGAGAGAGGCGAGGCGGGGGAGGCGCGAGTGCGGGAGGGAGGCGGCGGCTAGGGTTCTAGCACGGGAGGGAGAGGTCGGGGAGAGGGTTGGGCGAGCGGAGGCGGCTGCGCGAGTGCGGGAGGAGCGACGGCTAGGTCACACCCATGTCGCTACTGGGTATTTTTCCAGCCATGCGAAAAGACGGAAATACCCTGGTGGGGGTAAGGTATTTACAGTCCGATGCAATTGAATTTTTATCCAGAGGCTGAGAACGATCGGCCCAAGATCGCACGGCTCACACGAAATCAACCCGAGATCCGACGGCCTGTATCGCGAGAAGATTTCGATCCGACGGCCGAGAAGCTCTAATCGCTGAGAGAGCTCTAGCATCCACTCCTCTCTTATTTCTGGATGCAACTAGTGAGAAACTAACTCTATAAGCTAAGCAAGTGCAAATACCTGCTGCTCCACAACAGGTGGCGCATCAGGGGTATCGGGATGGACTGCGCCGCTCGATGCCGTCACCTTCTGAAGCGATGAGGCGGAGCCTGCCACATCCGCAACAGTTGCAAGTTTCCCCGCACCATCTTGGACGCCGCCGACATCCGCGGTCACCGCGCCCTGACCCTGCAGCTCCACCACATCTCCAGCCGCTGCACCGGTGTCGCCACGAGCGTGGGCCATCTGACAGATGGAGGCGATGAAGGTGAGGAAGAGGATGCGGTGGGGGAGAGCGAGACGGCGCGGTGGAGGCAGTGGAGGAGAGCGAGACGACGCCGGTGGGGGAGAGGAAGACGATGCGGCAGGGAGGGGATTTGGGGGAAAATGGTAGGGGCGATGGAGGTGGTTGCCCCTCTATATATGATGGGACATTTCGGGCATGTCCATGGACACGTGCTACCCCATGACCGTGCATGCACGACCGCGGTCTTGCATGCGCCCACGTATACGCGGCCCCACTCGTCAGAGTTAACGGTCAAAGGCATTGACCCGACGGCAATGTCCGCTATAACCTGTTCTGAGGGTTTCGGGTAAGGAAGTGGGGAAAAGTGAGCAAAAGTTAACCGGGTGGGGATGAATGAGTAGAGCTAAGAAACCGGGGGCACAGAAATAAACAATCCTATTTTGAAATAGAGGGAGTAAAGAAATCATGAAAACCCAATAACACTAACGATGTAGCAAAGCACGCCCAACTCTTCTAGTACACATTAATTGTGAACCCTGCATGGGCCATCACAACAATCTAGAGAACTCACAACTTTATATGCGAGTAATACGCTATAACAAATACACTATCCGGAGTAATAGTAGTCGCTAGTGAGGATGAACCGTAGGTGTCACGATCAAACCACATGACACTTGAGTACTCTCTCGTCCCACAATATAAGATCGTTTTTTAAGCTTGAAAAATGATCTTATATTATGGGTCAGAGTGAAAAACAATCTTATATGATGGAACGAGGGAGTAATATTCAACTCATTTATTAGTGCTTCAAAGGACCAGATAATGAAATTAACCAGAGCGGTTGTGGTCGCCAACTACAGATTCATGAGACGCGAGGGACAGATCAGTTCGCAGTTGGCTTGAAGGATTTGAGCTGGCGGGTTTTGGTCCAGGACTGCTCGTAGACCTCAGCGAGGTACGACGCGTTCTTGCCGGAGTCGTCCTCCGCATCGACGAAGAGGCGATAGTTCATGCCGGAGACCACCTGCTGCTCGCCGCGCGTGACCCGGCGAAACCACAGCCCGTTGCTAGCCAGGCTCGCATGTTGCACCGCCCACCCTCCCAGCTCCTGGATGTGCGCGTCCTTCACGTTCGGGATAGGTCCCCACTCACCGAGCCTCTCACTGTGGCCGCCCAGCACTGCTGAGGCGACTGCGAGGGTCATGGCGAGGAGGACGAGGGGTCATCGCGCCATGGAGAGTCGGTGTTAGGAATTGGGTGTTGGGGGTTGGGGACGGTGGATCTACTGGAAGGGAGTGATTGTGTAAGGCGGATAGGTTTGAGGGTTGTGATGGAAATTTAATGGGATAATTAGATTTATACCCCTAGTTGTGTCCCACTCGTCTGTTTTACCCCTAATTCCTAAAAGTCATTAATTCTGTCCAAGTCACTTTGCTCCTCTTATGCTTTTGCCCTTTGACCGTTTGACCGCCAGTTTAAAAACTTCATAACTAATTCATACTAAATCAGAAAAATGCCAATAAGATACCGAAATGTTCAGAAAAACATCACCTATATGTCAGTGTTATTTGCATTCATGAAAAAAGTGTTGGAAAGTGCCCATCTGAGTTTTAGCTCTTATGCGAATAGTAAAGTCTAAAAAATTTCAAAAAAACTAAAAAAATATTGGTGGCAAAGAATGACAAATGTTTTAAGTGCCTGCCAAGTTTCATTAAGGAATAACATTCATGGGTGCTGCGGCAAAAAAAACAATCAGCACTCTAAAATAGATTATTTTTTTGCCATGACTTCCATGAATGTCGTTCCCTAATGAAACTTGGCAAGCACTTAGAACATTTGTCGTTCTTTGCCACCATATTTTTTTTATTTATTTTTTTTTGAATTTTTTTAGAGTTTACTATTCATGGTGGTAACAAAAGAACTAAAACTCGGATGTGCACTTTCCAACACTTTTTTCATGAATGCAAATGACACTGACATATAGGTGATGTTTTTCTGAACATTTTGGTACCTTATTTGCAATTTTCTGATTTAGTATGAATTAGTTATGAAGTTTTCAAACTGATGGTCAAATGGTCAAAGGGCAAAAGGATAAGAGGAGCAAAGTGACTTGGATTGAACCGGTGACTTTTGGAAATTAGGGGTAAAACAGACGAGTAGGACACAACTAGGGGCATAAATCTAATTATCCCAAATTTAAAGGACGGTTTTGATGCAAAGGCTAGAGGACAGAGTTGGTACATCGTCATTTCGGACAAAGTCATTAATGCAAAAATAATTTGAAACCGAGCACCAAATCAATTTGAAATCAAGTCATTAATTCAATGAATTAGCCAAGTCTATTAAAAGGATTGCTACGCTTGTTGTTTCACACGTAGTCGT